ATATATATATCCTGTGATGTCGGCTTCTGCATATAGGCCCCTCATCTCCTGAACCTCCCGAATTAGTTTGCTTAGGACTTACTTTTCGCGGAGCCAGAAGCAGCCTTTAGGCTCATCCAGCGCTAGGATCCTAAGATCGTTGGACGATGACCGATTGCTGGCTGTTTAGGGTTGAGTGTGTTGTGGTGAATCTACCCATGCCAAGCGCAACAACCCTATCTATCTATCTATCTATCTGTGGAATCTATCTATCTCTCTCTTTCTCTGTATATTCACTATATGTATATATATATATATATATATATATATTTATTTATTTATGTATTTTATATCCATCCAGTTTACAGCCCTATAACTTGACAAGCGCGTTGATCCCTTCAAAAGCCGCACGCCACAAGGGAGTGAGCCATGCAGACGCCAAGGCCCTCTCACAGATCCGCTGACGACCAATTGAGATCCGGCCTGCCAACTCTGTAATCAGGGACTCGTAAGATGAATCTCTCAACCTTCAACCTTGAGAATGGCTCGCAAATTGGGGACGTTTCAGGGTTGATCCAACACAGAAGCCTGAAAGGCAGGACCCCTAACCTGGGGTCTGCTCTGAAGCAGCCTTCATTTAGTCAATGCCGAGGCTGATCGTGGCTTTGGTGGAAGTTGTCTTTGCTTGCGTAGACGCTTGGCGCGCCGTTCCTTTTTGTGTAATCAATATCGGCGAAACTCAGACCCCTAAGATCCTGTCCCCTAAGCCCCGAAAGCCATAAACCCCAAGCCCTCAACAGTATGTATTCTGCACCGCATGTCCCGAACAGCTTAAACGGACACCATCACATCCCAAACCTAGGCCATTAGGGTTTCGTGGTTGCGAGATGGGTAGACGGACTTAGGGCTTCGGGATTTAGTAAGCTTGAGTTTGAAGCCTTTAGGGAGGCTTTTCAGTCCAGAACAAAGTGAGGGCAATGGTCGCGGAGAGACTTCTCACGCGCAACTCCTGAAGCCTAAAAACTTTCCTGGGGACTGCCGTCCACCAACATTGGCGTCCGGTTTGAGGTTGAATCGAAATCTGCCTGTCTGTCTGTCTGTCTGTCTCTGTCTGTCTGTACGTATGTATGTCTGTCTGTCTGTCTGTCTGTCTGTCTGTATGTATGTATGTATGTATATGTATGAGTATGTATGTGTATCTGTATCTGTATCTGTGTTTGAACATGTATAGGTATAGGTATATGCATTTATACTTAACATATATATATATATACATACATATATTTATTGATTTATTGTTTTGTTTTATTTGTTTATTCACTTTTTCCTACTATTGTATTATTTTTTATTTTATGTATTTGTTTATTCATTTATGTATTTGTTCATTTGTTTATATTTATTTAGAAGATTCCATTGGGGGTGAAACGAATCAGGGGCCCTTGTACAAACACTCCAGCCATCACAGTGAACCGGGCCTTGAGGGGATCTTTAGGATTTATGGTTCAGAGTCAGGGGGTTTATTCGGTACGTCTTTCGAGCGGCCCCGATGTCAAAAGGCTGGTTTTGGCCTGGCGATTGGCGTGTCTGTCGTACTGGCACCGCTTGCCATGCTCAATGCTGCAGCTCGGCCCTTTGGGGTTCTAGGTCGTTAGGTTTCTGGATGCTAACGAGGGGCCATAACAATTGCACCAAGGCGCCCGTACTTTAGGGTTTTAGGGTTCCCTCAAGGTGAAATGGTTCAACAGAGCTGTATGTCGAACACCTACATCCCTCACCTTGCATGGTCTCAGACTCCCCCAGCACCGAAAAGACAACATGTCTGCAGGGCTTCTAATTATAACACTCTCCGGCGCATCTTTGTGACTCCCGCGGCCCCACCCTGAACTCCTGAACCATGAGGCATCAAGCAAAGGATTGAAACTGAGAGTCAGGGATCCATTGTATGTATACAGTTCCGTCAGCTAAGGGTTTCCGGCTATCCTCAGACCCGAAGCCGACTCACTGAAGCGAGGCTGTGCAAGTAAGATTTAGTTCAGTGCCTGCACTACTTTTTTTCGGTGGGATGCCCACCTTGAGTTGTTACCCTTCCGATGACCCGCGAGAATCTGCGCCCCAGAACCCTAAAGCCCATGTCCCTAAAGCCTCAAGTTTCGCGAAGGCCCAAGCCGAGCCCCCCTGTAACCTTATCTTCATGCGCGGCAACCCTAACCATCAGAATTGAATCTGTACCCAAACCCAAGACGAACATGAAAACCACAACCCCAAAAGTTCCCGCTTCAACGAGCAATACTCCATGCTGAACTTCGCGATAGTCGACGGATTTGCTGCAACGTCCGAAATTTCTTGCGAACTCGTATTCTTCAGAAATCGAAAATCAGGTTGGCAAGTAAACTCCTGTATTTCATCCTGAAGCCCCCTTCCCCTGTCTTCTTCTGTTGGCCTTGTCAGGTCTTCTTGTGCAATCTGGGTCCGTGCCGTCTGTCTTGCTGCATGGCCGCAACATCAGGAAGCATGGGGAACGGCGGGATGGAGCTGCTGGTTGGCAAGGATGCATTGCTGCCTTCAGCCTTGCAAGCCTCACATCCCAAGAAGTACATCCAGGTACCAGGTAACCGTAACCTTAGTCAAAACAATGCCAGAGGCTTCTGCAGCAGAACCCAATGCCCCATCAACAATGCTCCGAAACGCAGAACCCTTGGCCGTGCCTAACACCCATGACGGAACTATGCGTAGATTTGCCTGCTTGTGCGAGAGTGAGAGTCGAAAACCCGAGAGTCCAAACCCTAAACCCCATCTTGGCTTTCCGAGTTGCCCTAAACCCCAAAACCCCAAACCCGAAATTCGCTGGGCCTTGCCCTCTAAACCCTATAAAGCCTGAACCAGGCAAGTCCGAGTGTGAGTGCTGAAACCCTCAAACCCCAAACCCGAGTCGCTTGGCTTTGCCTTCTTGGCACCTTGACCGGGCCTTTTGGCTTCTTTGGCGCCATCTTTCTGGTGCTCCTTGGGCCTGAGATTAGGGCTTGGGTTTGGGAGGGGTAATGGAAAATTCGTGATCAGGAATTAAGAATATAGGGTTCATGCGGTTTAGGGTGTGGGAAGGATTTGGGTGGACTTGAGAGTGAACTGTTTTGAGGCTTGGTTTTGTGGGTGTTTGACATGTCGGAGCGCTTCAAGAGCTATGTTTTGTTGAGGGTTTGGTGTTCAGGGTCAGATAATTGGCGGCTAAAGTTCGCGGCTTGGACAAGGCCGCGGAGTCAGCAAGCTACATGTACACACGTGCCGAAATAGTATCAACCTATATCATGAAGCCTGGACTTCTGAACCTTTAGCCCGATTGGGGGCTCTCCGTCCAGAAACCTTACCGCACCCTTGAATCACCCCTGAACTACGAAAGCTGCTATGTGAGGAAAGATGTTTGGACATTGGCTGGCGACCCCAATTGGCTTGAAACGCCGACGTTCCCCGACGCTCGCCTGCACTGACGTTGTCACCAATGGCTTTAGGTTAGGGCTCAAAGTCCTAAGCTTGCCCGTTTCCCCAGGCCCTATGCACTCTAAAGTTGAAACCCGAAACCCTACAGATCGGGGTCACCGTCCAGATTCATTTCAGGCTCCGTGGCAGAACTATGCACACGAAGGGAGGTTTCGTGTTTATGGCTTCAGGTACGTACTGGAAAACCCAAACAGCCACACGACAGAGGAGAGGTTTGCAGGTAAGATAAACATGGTGAATGACAACACCTTAATACTAGGCCTCAATTATGTCTCGGATAGTCCCATTGTGAAAAAGTCAACTGCCGGGGTCGGTTTACCTAAGACGGCTCAAGTTTCCTTGCGCAGCTTCAGAGGACACAATACAAAGGTTCGATCCTGGTCTTGAGCCTTTACTTCCTTGTGACAATGGTTCGAAGTGCAATGTTATGGGGGCCAAGACCCCGATACCTATCAGTAACAGTAGACCATTGAAAAGTTGAGGGCCCTCAGAAAGAACTTTAGGGTTCGGGGGGTTTTAGGGTTTTCAGGATTTGAGCCCTCAACTGAGTCTGCTCCGAGGGCGAGTGCACTGTTGGTGGCTGCTGCCGCGTGACCGTCTCTCTACCCCACCGGGCGGAGAACCTCGAACCTTTGCTGCCATGACCGCATTTAGGTGCCAAGTTAACAAGACACCGAGTCAGGAAATGCACGCATTTTTGGTGTATGGTTCTAGATCAGTACATCAGGGTCAGGCACCTTGGGAACCGTCCTTATTGTACGGGGTATTTCGAATCCTGCACCCCCGACTCATTAAACATGGTTCCGGAGGGTAAGAAGTCTACACTGTCGTATGAAAGTTAATGGTCTCGAACGTGTTCCAACAAGCTGCAAGATTGCTTTCCTGCTGTTGCGGTGCGGGCTCGTGTCCCCGACTGTGGAGTTTGACATTTGGCGTGAAAAATCAGAGCCAGGGACCAGTTGCGAAGAGGCATGAACACTGGCACCCGCCGTGCAAACCAAGGCTTGTGAAGAACACTCCGATGGCAACCGTGAGAGATGAGCCTTGGGAGCTCAATGAAGCTGCAAAGTCCCGAGTTTGAGGGACCGGTGGTTTATGTCCGGGCTGCAGGCCTTGGAGATACAGTAATTAAGAAGGCCCCTCGCCAGAGTCAAGGGCCTTGCTAGCCGAGTCCATGTGTTGTTGATGGCGATGATGATGACGGTGATGATGACGGCGATGATGATGATTATGGCGATAATGATGATGATAACAGTAGTGACAGGCGGCGTTGGCATTGGTGTTGGCATTGGATGGTGTAGACTCGACTTTGTTTGGGCCCTACTTGTGGCGCATGGGTGCAGCGCTCAAGCCTTACATTCCTATGGTATGGGCTTTACGGGTGAAACACTGGCGTCGGACGCTTAACGTTGTAGGTGCAGGACAATTGCAGCACCCCACGCCCTAAGCCTTTGACCCTAAAAGCTGTTCAACCGGTTTTTAAACCCTACTTGTAAGCCTCATCCCAAGTTGTTAACAGTTGCGCCCAGGAATTGCACCGCTGGGTCGATCCTGGAAAAATCAATTGGCAAGAGACCCTCGGAGCGAAATAAGTTTCCCACCTGCCCTCCCGGTCCAGGGTAGTCCACCCGCGTGAGACGCCCGAAAGGAGTTTGTCAGCAATACCAGTTTCGGTGGTCGCGGTACATCTGTTCTAGATGAGTATTTGGTCACAGCGGATTTGACAAGCCGGAAGACGATCAGTTGTGAAAGCTGGAGAGATCGTATGCTTGTTGGACGAGATGGGCATTTGGCGACAGCCTTATTGTGTGAGTGGGCATGAGTCACCATTGAGTGCTCCTCCTAGCCCGTCGGAGTAGTGACCCCTGCAAATTTACATAGACTGTCCCCTGTGCTAAACTCCGCCTCAAGCCTCGAATGAGTTGTCATTGACAGGTTGTCAGCTTGCACAGAGTGCGTGAACTTTTGGTTTGTGTGTTCTCTCACTGCGATGTGGGGCTTTTACGCCCGAGTTCCAGAGGCACTCAACTCGAAGCACTTTACCTGTTGGGCGATAGTGAAGGAATGCAATAAGTGTGCCTTCATGACACGGACGCTTTCGAGGATCTTATGTAACTTATGAGTCTTTCCCTTTTTGCTCAACTTACAGCCGGCATCCCGAAGTGGGCTTTGGGCCCCGACGAACCCCATTTTCAAGTTTAGCTTTTATACCCCTATACACCCTGAAGGGACTGCGAGTGGCGCGGCTCACTGCTACTTACCGGCGGCAGTGCCGAGGGAGCCGTACCGAGCGAGGTGCGAAAGCTAGCTGTAGCCAATTGCAGCGGCTTGGCTTCGGTGCATTCAGATTTCCTTTCGCTTTATAAGATTTATTAATGTTAACGTCGAATTCCCCAAGCTTACCATATAGGCTCTTCGGCGGGAATTGGCTTGTCTCAGAGCTGCGGTTATCTTTGCAATTGCGGAGCTGTGTCGGCTTCGGGACCGCCCTGCACCCTAAACATTGGGGATGTTTAGCAGGTATTTATTTTGCATTGTCATTAATTATATAAGGGGCAACGGAGACTGTCCGATGTACATCATTGTGAATTGCTACATTACATTTATTAACATGCACATTGCAGCAACAGTTCATGATTGTGATTATGTGAACATGTCCTTTTCAATTTGAACCTTCCTGGTTCTGTGCATACACTCTATCTGCTGCTATTTGCTGCTAGCACCGTTTATCTACCGGGGCAGCTCATGGAAGCACTCTATATACCTAACCCTATGCCCCGGCCCAACCCTTAGCCCACAGCCCACAGACCCAAAGCCTAAACCCTAAGCCCTAAACCCTAAAATACCCTAAACCCCAAACCCTAAACCCTAAACCCTCATCCCTACATCCTAAACTCTAACCTCGAAATGCCAGATCCTATATAAGCCCTGCACCCAAAATCCTAAGCAACCCAAGCACAAGGAAGCCTGTCCTGGAAGTTTGTAGACGACATGGCCTGGCAGCTCTCAGATGTGAACTGCACAGATGGAAGCACAGGCCTGGAGAGCTTTCCCTTAAAGACGGTTCAGGGTTTAGGGTCCGAAGTTTAGGGCCCAAGAATTAGGGACTTGGGGTTTCGGATAGTAGTTATATGCAGGGTACTATTTTGGACAGTATATGATTAGTGCTTGGACCCTTCTATAGGGCTCGTGTTTTTGGAGGTGCGCAGGACTTTACGTGGGGTTGAGAAAGTTGCGAGGGGTTGGCTGAGACCACAGATTCAAATCTACAGAATTTATGTGATAAAGACCTGTGTAGAAGTGCCCTTTGAGGGGACGACTGGGTTGTCAGGGTTTAGTCACGTTTCGAGCCTTGGGTGGGTTGGATGCATGCCAAATGCAATGGTTTGCCTTTTCAGCAGTTTAATGGTTTGCTGGCTTCGGTTATGCAGCTTCCTGCAATCACAACTAGCCCCGCATTAGCAAAGGAGTTGCGGCTGACTGCTTCGTGTCTTGAGCGTTCACTCCCCTGAGCTCTACATGTGCAGGAGTCTTGGTGGAGATGCACTCGCAGCAGCGGGTTGGAATGGATGATGGAAGTGCGCCCCCTGGGCACTGGGGTCACGGTCTTGACTGGCAACCACACATACGTACACACGTACATGTGGGAGTACTTGGTGTTTTGTAGGGCCGCATAATCCTGTCTAGACATGTTCAGTCTTGCACTTGTCGAGGTCCTCGTGTAGATGTTGTGAGACATTCTGTTTCGAAGTTTGACCGTACATGCACAGACGGCGTGGATGTGCAGATCCGTCTATCCAGCCTTGCATCGAATCTGCATTGCATCGTGCGTCTGCAAGACCCCCTACTGCAAGCCCAACCCACAGTTCACTTTCGACCATGGATGCCCAACGGGCCCGATTCCGATGCCCCGTCGCCCCGATCCCTTTCCGGCCTATATAGGTGAGTCATTCGGTTTTGTGCTTCCCCTTTCTTAACCTCTGCATGATGGCACAAGAGCTCCAAGGCAGAGGCCCTGGGATAAATTCAAAATTCATAGATCCAAGAAACATGAGCCTTGAGATCTCCACTGTGGCATTCTGGGTGGATGTGGCTGTATAAGAAATAAGCATCAGAGTTCATTATGCCTTAAACTGTTTGAAGTTCAGTCAGCCTGCAATTTTGGCTATGATTAGGTTCTCGCTTCGGAGAGCTGGATGTTGTAGAGTTTCGCTTGCAAGCAGATGAATACAGCCTTGACCAGTGAACTCCTGCCTTCAGCATCGTATGGATCTGACGCAGTGTGAGCATCAAGGACGCATTCCTGGTGGTAATGGATTGTAAACCTGAGAGCATTTTGCCAACCTGCAGCCTGGTGCCAGGACACAACTTCTATCGGGTGGCTTTCTGTCGCTGCCTCGGCATCCATCCCATGATCTTCCATGCAAGCGCACAAACTTGCAGCTCTTGATTTTCTGCCGCCCCTAGCCCAGAACCCCGAAGCCAGAATCTTACAGACCTCAGCCCCGAACCTAAATGCATTTTTCAATCCCCGAGGGCCGATTGAAATTGAACTCAGCAGGGCGGGGCTTGGTTCTTTCAGAGGTTCTCGTGCACATGTAGGGCTTGGGCGGACGGGGGCACCTTTTTCGGAGCCACGGGGTGACAGTGACGGTATAACTTCGTGATTCTTTGTGTGAGGGGAGAGCTTAGATAAGATTAGGGTGTCCGATCCTCGATGCGCCAAGGGTTTCGATGCGCCAAGGGTTTAGGAACCTTTTGAATTTCGCACGCCTGCACCGGTACCCCCCAAAGTCTTCGACCCAGAGTGACACTTTCAAGTTTGCACAGTTCGTGCACGAGCATCGCACCAAGGCTACGCGTTCCTGACAGACCGGTTTGCGAACTTGGCTGTGCCCTTCAACGGGTCGTCCTGTTGACACCAGGTTTCGGGCTGCTGCCCGAATCAGGTTTGTCTGTTGGTCCCGAAACCCCACCAAAGCCCCAAACCTTAAACCCTAAACCCCAAGCCCTCAATGCACCTAAGCCTAAATAGCTTCGGTACACGAATTCATGGCTCAAGACAAGAGAGGCCGGCTTCCAAATCATCATACCCCTTTCTGTCTACTGGCCGTTTCTTTGCAGCCAAGCAGCCTTCAAGGCAAGTTAAAGGTTCAGATAAAAAAAAGCAGTTCTAACTAGGAGCCTGAATGCTGAGCTTGAAGCTGTAATTTGGTTCGAGCGAGTATTTGCAGAGCCGCCGGTTTTTGCAGTGAGAGACTTACGCTTGGCCCCATGTTTGCAGATGAAACTTCCGGCTTTCCGGTACCCCAACTGCCTGCTCCAACGTCTTGAGCCTGTAAACTAATTTGCCGGACTTTGGCGTCAGCCAACAGCAAAGAATGCTCTGTTGGCGGCGCGGTAGAGTCCTAGCTGCAGATTCGGCTGCTGCCACATCCAAGATGGCCAGTGCCGACGCCACAGGTTCTGTTCGAGGAAGACCATGTCTTAACCCTGAACCCGGCCCTACACCTCTAGACTGGAACATGCTGCAAGCCCTTTGGGTTGTCTCCAGAAGACGTGCCAAACTTTCTGAGAACCGTATAAACCCTTACGGGAGTCTAAACATTCAGGCTTAAGGAAAACCGGATCCCTCAAACTTTATAGATGTTTGACATCCCATGGCCACGAACTCCCAGACCCTTAGAAATGTTCCCTTCTTATGTATAGTCCCTGCAGAACCATGAAAGCCCGTTTTCAGTTAAGAGCCCTTCATTTTCTCTGACTTGTCACACTCTTGACATATTGTCCTGAAGTTTTGCATGATAGGGTTGAAATGCTGAAGGTTGGGGCTCCCCTCCCATCCTGCCAGACACCTATAAAACTATAAAAGCTACTATAAATCAACGACCTTTCCGTGGTGTCCTTGAATGCAAAGACTCGCTCAGCGACGAACCCGGCAAAACATGCATTCCATGCAAGACACTCTAGCGTCCTGTTTGCATCGGATAATCCTGCGTCGGTTGAGCAGAAGTGATATTGTGCAACATTTTCGTGCCTATCCTGTGTTGATTTCAGAAGATTTAGAACTTGAGCTGCGAGTACATGATCCATAGGTTTGAGTTGCTTCCGGCCGATTTCTCGGATGCCGATGTCGATGGTCAGGTGGCATAGACAAGCCACTTTACAAGCTGGCAGCCACGTTCATGGACGAAGCCCCTGCGAAGCAGAGGCAGGCAAGCTAAATCCATGCAGCGTCAAGGCCGAGCATTCCCCCCTGAGGTCTGCCGAAGCCGCAGTGCCGGAGAAGGGTCAAAGCAAAACTCAGCTCACCAACTATATTCTCAAGGAGCTGGCCTCGGGCTCATCAAGCATTTGATGTTTGCTTCAGCATGTTGAACCCCGCCCCCCCCACAGCCAGCGTGAATCAAAGAGCCTGAAGCCTTGCCCTGTCCGACTGTCTGACTGTCCGACATGAGCTGCAAGAGCCGACAGTGGACCGAGAGTCTGCTGGGTTCGTGTCATTTTGGTTCAAGCATTGTTGGATCCTACCACTCACCACCGATTGAAAGCTTTCGGTAGTTCCTGCTTCTGCAATGGAAGCGTTTGCCGAAGGGCGTGTGGAACAGCGACTCCAAGCCGCCTTGGAACGGGTTCGAGTCATATTGGATGCAACCAAAGATCCACAAGCAGCTGGCGACGTGCACCATCAGTACGAAGATAAGTACTTGCTGGTGGAGGGTGTGACCAATGCAGCAGTTGCATCGCAACTGAACTCGTTTAGTGCCCTGGGCCTGACCATGCAGCATGTGCAGAAGCTTCAAGAATGGTCCAAAGACAAAGTCGTGTCGTTTCAATTCAATGCCGAGGAGGCATGCAGTTACCTCCGAGAGGAAACTCGGGAAGAAGAAGATCCGACAAGGCACGCCGAAGAGGTTTCAGTTCGCGGTGCGTTGCAGGCCGCATTCACAAGCAAGGTGGTGACGAGGATAACAGAGTACTTCTGGAAGTTCGAGGCAAAGTATGAACTGGTGGCAATCAGAGGAGTTGGCGAAAGTGCTGATGACCGGCTGTGCTTGGTGACACGTACAGGGCAAGCAGAACTGATAACGTCGGCGAAGCAATCCCCGCGCCCAGAGGTGAAGAAGCCAGCCGCCAAACTGCAGGTGAATGCGAACTGGCTCTTCCGCAATTTAAAGAACGACAAAGCTGTGCCTGGCTTCACCGTGGACCGGCTGGCCAAACACTGCAAAACTCCGCGACGCAACGAAGATGTTCAAAAGGCATACAACCACTGCGAGCGCGTTGCCGTTTTCGCAAAGCAGGTGTCCACCTACCTCTCGGGACTCTTCCAAGTACAGACTGCTGCGAAGAAGTCCCTTGACCTCGGGGCACTCCGAGATGACAGCATTTTCAGCCCTGTTCTTCCAGTTATGGTCCAGAACTCACAGGAGGCAATCGAAGATCTGGGTCCTGCCAGCGAGAGCATCGTCCTTGTGGAGGCGGTCCGTGAGGAGGCTCAAAGCAACGTGCAGCTTACGGTCCAGGACTCTAATCGGTTGCTTCAGGAAGAAGTGCGGAGTCTGAAAGGGAAGCAGACCGACCTTGCAGAGGCCTTCCCAGAAGAGGGCCTCGCGACTAGGGCAGAGGCCTTTGCAGTCGTCACTTTGCAGCATGTCGCCCGGGTGTGTTCCAGCTGGGCTGATGCAGTCGGCTACGTAGAGGACATGCTCCGCAAGCAGTTGGCTGCCGCCATCGGGAAGGAGGTTTCCCCTGGAGATTTTGCCGCCTACATGAGGTTTCATTATCGCAAACTCTTTCACGAGGCATTCCTGCCGAAACCTCTCTGCTTCTCTGTGCGCCGTTCTGACACACACAGCCCGGAGGGAACAGTGAGTATCGAGGAGGCAGTGGTTGGGCCTGGTGGCGACTCCAACATCAACAGTCCCATCGTCACCATGGTGGCCAGCACCGCTGAGTCAGCTCCCATGACCTTTCCGCTCAATGCTTCGACGAACGTGACTTTTGCTGGGGAGAGGCACCTTCACGCCTGGCTCTCGCACCAGTTCTCGGGACAGTCGGGTTGTGAGCTGTCGTTGGTTGCGCGTGCAAGGCAGTTCAGCTCAATGCTGGTTCTGATCGGACGGGTCTCGTCTGCAACCAGCTTTGACCCGAAATATGCCGCCATCATCCAGAACAAGGATGAGCTGACCATACCCTTGAATCTGTCGACGATTCCATCCCCAAAGGAATTCAAAGACGCCATTGAGTCTCTTTCACCAGAACAGCAAGCCTTCGCGAAAGCCTTCCGCGCGATGCAGCTCGAGTCGACCTTGTTTGGGGTGCTGGTGGTGCAGATTAAGCCACAGCTGGAGCAAGTGCTGAATCTGGCAGACGACAGTTTGACGAAGGAGATCAAGCTGACACAGGATTTGATGCAGCTTTTCATCAAGTATCAGATCCCTAGTGACTTGCTCTCTTTCGATGCCACCTCGGGCGAGGCGGAGATCTTGAATCCCACAGCAGCCGAGAGGTTGGAGCGCGTGAAGGGGCACGTACAGGCGATGCATGAGATGCTAGCCCAGGCCAAGCAAGAGGATCTCCAGGAGCGAGAGAGGGAGGTTCTCTACCACCTTCCTTTCGCAAACTTTGAAAGAGGAAGCAGGAAAGACTTTGAGAGACAAGGCGGGCGCGCGATGGTCAGGGAGACACTCCAGCTTTCAGCTGCTTCGGTGAATCAAAGCGCTCCCATCATGTGCGGCGCTGCAGCGCCCGGCGGTGCACCTCCCGGCGGTGCAGCTCTCGGCGGTGCACCTTGGGGTGCGCCGAGCATGCCGGTGCCATCTCCACCCCCCTGTGCATCTCCGGCTCGGGCCGCTGCGGCCCCCGCACCACAGCCTCAGCCGCCGCAGCAGCCGCCGCAGCCAGCGCAGCCTACTCAGAGGTTGCCCGACGAAGCCAGCTCGGTCGGGGCCAGCTCAGGCACCCGGGACTACACGCAGGTGCCAGTTGAAATGGACCAACGCTTCGAGAAGCTGGACACCGATAATTCCCTTCGGCCCACCATCATCAACCCGGGAGAGCGGTGGACAAAGCGGTCTCAGAAGGCACTGTTGGCCAGCCCTTCCACGTCCCATTTGTCCAAGGCGGAGCAGAAGACGGAAAGAGAGGCTGCTTTCGACCTCCTCGATGCCCTCACGAAGTCAGGGGCGCTGCCCTTGACGCATGCGAGCCTGCATGTGGTCATAGCAGCCACGCACTGCTTCGACAAGACCGTCACGGAGACTGTCATCCAGAACAACATCAATCCCATTGCGAAAGTTGAGCGATCCTCACTCATCATGGCCTCCACAGTGCACCAGAAGCCGGTGCCAGACTTAATCAAAGATGAGCAAGTCCAGAGAGTGACGGACAACTCCCCACAGCTCTTCCTGAAAGATGCTCGCTGAGAGCGGAGCCAAGGGCTTCAAGCTGCAGGGAATTGCCTCAACAGCCTACACTATCCTAAACATCTGTCAGTCCCATAGCCCCGGACCCAAAACCTGGAACAGCGCCAGCCGCACTGCTTCAACTGCACAGGCCAGAGCAGTGCGAGCAGCGCAGTCGGATCCGCGCACGCGATTGTTTTCAAGCCTCCCAAGATCAATTCGAAAGTCCTATCCGTTGAAGCAGCACCCGGGGGGATTTAGGTTAGCGTTACCGGAAATCCTCGAGTCCGTTGCGTCAAGTTTCCTGGTTGCTGCTTGAACCCCAAAGTCTCTGCCATGCCAGCAGGCAGAGACTTGTCGGCTGCTCCCTGCTGTACAGACTCGGCTGCAGCAGCCGTCAAAAAGGATCCCTCGAATCATTGCCTCTCAGTGCCGTGTGTGAGTTTGGACTAGGTGGGTTCGCCGAGCGTGTCGGCTTTGCTGCTGTGTATGAGATCGTGCTTGCCCTCTAGACTCTAGAGCCTCTAGACTGTGAAAGTGGTACTGGTACCTGTAGCAGATTGTAGCAGAAGTGCAAGTTAGACAAAGGTCTACTAAGCCTAGTTTTCCTTGGTGCTGTGGCACAGGAGCTTGAGAAGCTGACCGAAAGTGTTGACTTCCTCATATTCCCCGCCGACCTGAATGCAGCAGAGCGAAAGCATGCACGCGAGGCGAAGTGGGAGTCTGGGGTCCCATGTAAAAGAAAGTTTGAGGCCTTCGGGCACCAGGCTGGGTTTTCAGGCAACCCCCAAGTCTCGAGGTGGTGAAGGCTCGGAAGCTCATGTCCGTCTCCACCGGATCAGGCCTGGTCTTTTGACTCTCTAGTTAACTCTAGTTCTCCGAAGTGGGGATGATGATGGCTTGCGGCATTTAGGGCTGTGCATGGGCTTCCGACGATCAGCATCCTGGTTTGACGAAGGCGAAGTGCGGCAACTACAAGTTTTTCGCCCCGGGACCAAGAAGGCCGCGAAGTGGAAAGGGGGAGGTACTGTACTGATCTGCACTGCAGATCCATTTTTGCTGCAAAGTCCTGTCTGCCTGAGTGTGAACGGGGATGTCATGAAACTGAAGGTTCGGGCAGATGCGCACCTGCTTATCCAGGCGAGGAGGGCGGGCAAGGGCTGGAAACAGTCAGTACAGTATTTGTGATCGTTCAGCATTGCTGATGCCCCCACGGATCGAAGGAGCAGCTCAGTCGGAAGCTGTCGTCTTTGCTGCGCCACAGCGCCGAGCAGCGTGGGATAGGCGAACACAACTTAGTCGTACTCTTCCAGTGGTTGTGACGCTTAAGACTTAAGCCCCGTAAGTTCTTAAGGCGCGGAGCCTTGAAACTTGGCGGCTGTCCCTTTTTGCAGGCATGCTCCAAGATGGGTATGCGCCACTGTCCACGGTGCTTGGCCTTCGGGAATTCTCTCGCTTCAAGCACACTGCCGAAGAGGTGGAGGAGCTTGTGGAGAGGGATCAGAAGAGACGCTTCGAGCTCACGACAAGGGCTGGCGAGATGTGGATTCGCGCAACCCAAGGCCACACCATGCGCTCTGTGAAGGATGATGCACTTCTGCAGCCAATGGGGCTTGAAGAAGCCCAGGCGGTAGAGAGCTGTGTCCACGGGACCTACATGATGCTCTGGGAGGAGATACTGAACAGCGGTGGTCTTTGCAGGATGGCTAGGAACCATATCCACTTCACCACCTGCACTTCGACCAACACTGTGGTCAGTGGC